CATATATATCTTTTTTACTATTGATTTTGGTACCACTACACAATTTTCAAGGTAAAGCGAAGCTGCTTTAATGTTAGGTGGGAACCTTTTAACTTGTTTTAGCAAATCTGATCAGTATTAAAAATGACTTGACAAATATGATACTGGTCACTACTTAGTGATTAATTAATCGTAACATATCACTCATACAGAAGATGGATTACGGTTCGAATAGCTCGCTAGTAATATCTTTGACTATGAAGCTGGGTGAATGTTTGAGGTTTCATTTCGTGACTATTCAGTTACTTTACAGAGTAGACTAGTTGATTAGCCACATTAGAACGTGACCGATGTAATTCGATCAGCACTAAGGAAGACTTGACAAACATAACATTAGTCATTAATAAATGATCAGTCAAATATAAATAACCAGCTCCATATGAGCAAATTGGCTGATAAATACATATTTAGATACAACTTGCACAAAACTTATTCAATGTTTAGACAATTTTGGATGAGACTATAATTTATGTATGACCTTCGAGTGACGTCGGTATAACCTTGAGTATGTCCACCTACTAACTTGGATTAAATGAGGTTTTTAAAGCAATGTGAGGAATTAGAATTATGTTTTACAGTTGATGGTTAGAATTAGGAACTAGATTTAGAGTTTTCATCACGAACTAACATTAGTTAAAATGCCGAAATACTGTTTATCCAGATGAATGAATGAGTTTCGTGCCAAAATCCAAAACCTTTTGTTATATTTGGAGCTTAGATTCTTTTCATACCGCTTACTGCTTGAGCACTCGAGTGCTAAAGCTCTCCAAGTCATAAATGAGAAAGCAGAAGAGGAGTCAGAAGGAATAATATTCCAAGTAGTAGCAAATATGGTACAAAACTCTCAGGTATTTACAGTATTTAGTAAAAGTGAAATCATCATTACAGTCGTACGATCCTCCTATAGTGGTTTTTAGCATTTGTCCAATGGGGACGATCCACATCAAGATTCTGGAATGTTCCTCCAAAATATGATTGGATGGAATATCTTTGTCATCTTTGAGATTTTTAGAGCTTCCTAGAGGTCACCCATGGAAAATCCTGAAACTAATCATCCTATATCTTATTGATTCATCCATAAATTATAGTCTCAACCATTTTTGTTTTCTTTGTAATTTATGTTATATATATAAAGCGTTTAATTAGGAGCAGACATGAAAAGGATTGCTCAGGATAGAATTGGATAGATAATGCTAGTGAGAGGTCTATACTCCTCTATGAGGGCTAACATGCGTAAATAAGTAATATTAAAAAAACTAGAGCAAGGTGTGATTTTAAAAATGTATAGGCAAGCCCTCACCTGGAATGCTCAAGTTCAAAAGAAAAGAGGAAAACCGAAGAACACAATAACGCGACACAGACGTGAGAAGAATGAACAACAATTGGATTGAACTAGAAAGGAAGGACCAGGACAGAGTGGGTTGGAGAATACTGCTGAGCGGTTCTATACTCCGTTGGGATTAACATGCGCAAATAAGTAAGTTTTATTTAACACGTCTTTGAACTTAATCACTTCAACCGCTCTATTCTTTCTGTAAATACTATCTATCTATCTAACTATCTATCTATCTATCTATCTATCTATCTATCTATCTATCTATCTATCTATCTATCTATCTATCTATCTATCTATCTATCTATCTATCTATCTATCTATCTATCTATCTATCTATCTATCTATCTATCTATCTATCTATCTATCTATCTATCTATCTATCTATCTATCTATCTATCTATCTATCTATCTATCTATCTATCTATCTATCTATCTATCTATCTATCTATCTATCTATCTATCTATCTATCTATCTATCTATCTATCTATCTATCTATCTATCTATCTATCTATCTATCTATCTATCTATCTATCTATCTATCTATCTATCTATCTATCTATCTATCTATCTATCTATCTATCTATCTATCTATCTATCTATCTATCTATCTATCTATCTATCTATCTATCTATCTATCTATCTATCTATCTATCTATCTATCTATCTATCTATCTATCTATCTATCTATCTATCTATCTATCTATCTATCTATCTATCTATCTATCTATCTATCTATCTATCTATCTATCTATCTATCTATCTATCTATCTATCTATCTATCTATCTATCTATCTATCTATCTATCTATCTATCTATCTATCTATCTATCTATCTATCTATCTATCTATCTATCTATCTATCTATCTATCTATCTATCTATCTATCTATCTATCTATCTATCTATCTATCTATCTATCTATCTATCTATCTATCTATCTATCTATCTATCTATCTATCTATCTATCTATCTATCTATCTATCTATCTATCTATCTATCTATCTATCTATCTATCTATCTATCTATCTATCTATCTATCTATCTATCTATCTATCTATCTATCTATCTATCTATCTATCTATCTATCTATCTATCTATCTATCTATCTATCTATCTATCTATCTATCTATCTATCTATCTATCTATCTATCTATCTATCTATCTATCTATCTATCTATCTATCTATCTATCTATCTATCTATCTATCTATCTATCTATCTATCTATTTTTCTTAGGTAATCATTTGTTTTCTATATTTTTTCTGTTGAATACATAAAAATATTTATAAAAATATTTGTGTTTTTTTTCACCATTGAATAGAACTAATTAGATGGTAACTAATTGAAAGTCACAAGATAAATACCGGATGATCATACCATTTCTGACTAAATTGGTAACACTATATAAGCTGTAGATATATTTTGGACATTAGATATAACTTTAGTCAATCTGTGTGTAAACATGGTGTTAAGACTATTCATTTGTTTATATGTGATTGTTTTATACAGTAAGTTGAAATATTACTGTTTTGTGTTTTATCTTTTTGGAGAATTAAAACTGCTAGAATAAGGGGGTTATAGAAATGGTAATAATTTAATGGCTGAATTCATGAGTTGATTTAAGATAAATCACCATGGGAAAACCTAGAATTGATTCATGAATTTAATCATAAAATTACTACAATTTCTACAAAATTCACATTCTTGACAATCATCAGAATGTGTTCACTAATGATTAGCTTCAAGGTATGTTTCCTGCAATTCTAGTGAGTAGACATGACTAATCGAGTTCAACCGTGTCTGTTGTGAGGCCGTAGCTCACTGAACATAATGGTGAACGGTGATGCATTTTTGTGGGGGTTGATTTAAGTTATACAATACCACCGTCAGATATCGGCTTAATGTTCTAGAGGTTAGGTCAAAGGTACTGGGTCGAATCCTGCGTGCGGGATCGTAGGTGCACACTGTTGAGCAGTCCCATATTAGGATAAAACGGCCATCCAGCACTTCAGGTTTTCCATGGTGATCTAATCTTGATCGACTCATGAATTCAACCATTAAATTAAAATTGTATTGAATGTTTTCTCTTTAGGAATTTCTGTTTAAATCTAAAGTGATACTCTATCTTATAATAGTTTGGCAATGAGTGAATGTTAAACAATAGTAAAGGGTAATATATTTATAAACTTGAATTAGACTATCTAACGAAACAATTTAGTTTGTTTCATTTCAATAACTCATTATAATACTCTAAATTAGTTATTATGACATAGTTTTCATTATATTAAGAGGGAGCAAATTGATAGAAAGTATTCATTCTTTGTATACAGGATTACAATTGATTACAATTAAGTAATATTAACATATTAGTACAGTGACATAGTTACAAGTTCGAATAGATGAAGTTATTACTAACATGCTTTGATATGTATTAACATGAAATAACCTAATCTAGTAATCATTGTTGTTGTTATGATTAGTCGACTTAACCATTCAGTGCTTTATTGTCAACTTAAGAAATGTAACATAAACAGTAATCTATCATAATTGAATGATATAATCAATCATACCATAAGTGAAATTCTGATATTCAAACATTTTCATTATAAGATAGTTTAGTGTTATAATCTTGATCAGTGTCTTAAATTATCTTAACCTATTCTGATGTGATTTTAATGCATAAAAACATGTAATTTTTCCTCAGAATGAATGAATACATGAATATGGTGATACCTTTGAGTGACGTTAGACTGACCTTGAGTGTATCCCTTTAATAACCAGAACCAAATGAGGGTTATAAGTCGATGTGAGAAATTTGAATTATGATTTACAGTTGATGATTAAGGTTAGGAATTAGACTGAGAGTTTTTTTAATCATGAACTGATATCAGCTATAATGACGAAATAGTATTTAACCAAATATATGAGTGAATTTCGCGCCAAATTATGAGACCTGTTATCTTATACGTGATTGGTTCATCCATAAGTTAGAGTCTTGCCCATGGATATTTTTGAATAAATTCAGTCAATCAGTCAGTTACAACGTAAGACCACTGTTGGGTCGGCTTCCGGAGAACTTCAACGGAGCCTCCAGAAGCCCCAAAAAGGAGCCGAAGGGCCTAGCCAATCAGAGTATGATGGAACGTTCGAGAATTAAGGCGTGGCGTGCTACCATTGGTCGGTAGCATAATATGACGTTAACGGATTGGCTGAAATATGATGTTAATTTAACAGACGCCAACATCTATAAATACTCTTGATTTTCTGTACTAGAATGAACCTTGGAATAAAGTGTTTTCTCTCATACTTATGTCTTCTCTCTGGAGTTCAAGTCGCTGTGTAGTTCTAGTCTGCGGGTTACGGGAATAGCTTAGAAATCGTATATAGCGTTCAACCTACACGACTTATCAATCACGTATAAATATACATCGGTTCAACTTGCTATATCACATTAGCACAATGGGATGAAAACCAAATTTATAGAATTAGTCACTTTAATGGTGGTAATGTATAAAAGAAAGATTGTGTATAAGGATATAATACAGGAAGAATGGATTAGTTGATAGAAAGAAATATATAAAACAATTTTATTCACACAGTTTAAAGGAAGACAATATAATGTTCAATAAACTATACTCTGAAAAGTGATGATAGGTTCAGTTAACGATTTGCATATAGGAAAAAAAGCGCTCATCCTGGATTCAACTACTAACTATCACCTATCTCTGCTTATAATGCTTGTGAATTATGGCTATATCAAAGCAATCCTCACATGTTGCACATATTTCAATAAGATATGGATTAATTGAACTTCTCAACATCAATGGGAATATTCTAACAGCCAATACAAAAAATGAGTCAAATATGAACACTTTTTTTCAAGGTTAATATAATCATTTTAAATTCTCTTTTAAAACAGTGTTTGTTTGCCATATTCCATTTATTACATAATCAAATAACTAATTAACGTGGAAAATAATTGAGATCTTAAATCTATTGATGTTAGAACATCACTGCAAACCTGTACGCACTGGACAGCTGATTCGTCCTATTGTGGAACTTCTCAGCAGTGTGCATCCACGATCCCACTCGTGGGATTCAAACTAAGGGCCATCAATCTCGCGCGAATGTTTAATCTACTAGACCACTGAGCCGGCCGACATCTAACGGTGTTAATGTGTAACCTCAACCAATCCACGAAAATAATGTCAGTCATCATGAAATCGTATTCATCAATATTGAATAAGCAGCTGTTCATATCAGTATAAGGGTTGTAGAGATTATTAAGTTTTTGATTGAGATCATAAACCGATTGATGTTAGATCACCGTTAAAAACCCGGAAGTACTGGATGGCCATTTATAGTTTATAGTTTGTTTGACTTCTTTAAGAAATACTACTAAAATTGAATCAGTTTAAACAAAATTCTAGTTTTGGATGCTTAAAATGCATACAGCTAGGGATTTTTCTTTTATAGCTTAGCGTTTTTTTTTAGCGAGTTACTTTTCCACAGGATGGGGTCGCTAACCCCATGACCAACCCTCCTCCTTTACTCGGGATTGGGACCGGCAGTAACTCTAGAAGAGCTACAGGCGGAGTTTTCATAGCTTAGACAGATATGTAATTAACAGTGGAGTTCCATTTAGGACTAATCAGTTAAATGTGTCTTCATCTTAATGTTGATCATCAAAAAATAGAATTCAAACTTAGTCTTAATGATGGCGATTCATATTCTTTCTAAATAGAGAATAATATCATAACCAATGCTGTTATTATTCAAATTATAATCATCACTTAGTTCTATCTACAATTCTATCTAATTAAGTTTTATTCTTTCAATATTTATAGTTGTACTACAGATGATTATTGTTGAATCCAATGTCAATGTCAATTTAGCAGACAATGTCGATGAAGGTAAGTCAATTATTATTGTTTTTGTATGTATTTAGTTATACAACATAAGAGAATATTTTGTTTATCGGTATCACTGTCAGAGTTGACCTTGATAAATTCCAATAATAGTTGAATATTGAATAGAAAATCAATATTGAATATATATATTCCTTTTTTATCAGAAAAGAGTTTTGTGGAGAATCTGGAAGCAATGGACTGACGTTTCATCTTAGTATGGCACTACTCAGCAATACACACCTACGCTCTTGCACGTGAGATTTGAATTCAGGATCTTTGATCGCATGAGTGAACGTTTAACCTCTAGACTAACGAGCCGACATTCAACGGTGTTAATGTCTAATTTCAACTAATCCATGGAATTTCTCCACCATTCACCATTGTCTGCAATGATTAACTATTTCACAACAGACGCGTTTGGATGCTGGATCAGTATTCTAGAAGTTGATTACTCGTGCGCGAGACCAAAGGTACTTGGTTCGGATCTCGCATACGGAAGCGTGGATATGTAATGTTGAGCAGTCCCATACTAGGACGAAACGGCCGTGAAGTCCTTCAAGGTTTTTCATAGTGGACTAGATTTAATCGATACATGAATTCAACTATTAAATTTTAGTATCATTTTTAACAAAACAATGTATTCTATTAATTTTTCAAAAGTTGAATTATTGATTAGTTAATATTGTTTCATTGGCCGTCCACGGCCGTCCAGTGCTTCCAGGTTTTCAATGGTGGTCTAGCTTCAACTGACTCATGATTTCAACCTGTGATATAAATATATTCAATGCACATTTTGATGTAGTTTTAATCAGTTATGAATCCATAGTTGGTACATAAATAAATATACATCAATATATAGTCTTGTAGTCATTTGTATATCAAGACACTGTCAGTTTATTCGACAGTCATAACAAACAACTGTACCAACAATAATGTCAGGATTTTATCAAGTCACTTTCATGACAGTAATATGAGTAACATTGATAGGAATAATAAAAGAAAGTTTTATCAAAATCATGAATCCATCTAAGTTGTAAAACTATTAAAAATCTGGAAACATTGGACGGTTTTATCGTCCTATTATGAAACTTATTATCAGTGTGCACCTACAATCCTACAAGGGAGAATCGAACCAAGGAGCTTCGAACTCGCACACCTTCAGACTAATTAGTCGGTATCCAGCAATGTTAATTGTTATGATTTGATGTCCGGCTTTTTATCACGTGACTTATCCACCAATCAGGATACGATTTAGACAAATCTTCACACTATGCCAAACCAATGACGTTCAAGTAGTCTAGCGTCCTTATTGGTCCTATGTCTTCCTAGCCCGTCCACTTGAGTCCAGAACACAATACCAGCTTCTGTAATATGAATCAAATCAAATCATTTATTTCAGACATACTTAGTTTATCTATCAACCAAACAGACCACAACGTACCATAAAATAGAAAATAACATGTGTACACAATAAAGCCAATAAGTGACTGTGAACGCGGGAGATAGTAATTAATAGAATGAACATAGCTTAAGAACCGTAAATCATATAATAATAAATTATACGTCAAAATAAAGCTTATAATAAGGGAAATATGAATATACATAGTCTAATTATTGAATAGTTATACAATAAGAATATTTATAGAATATTAATCGATTAATAGTCCTCAAAAGTTACCCGTAATTTAATCTTCACTCGGATATAACAATAATATCTAACATTTCATCCATTGTTTTGCGTAGATAAGACTTCACTAGTCAAAGGTACTCATTGCAGATTCAAGAAAAATCTATCTTTAAGCTAGATACTAGTAATTACATTATCAGAATAGAGGTTTATGGAGATGTGTTATTACCAATCCGAATACGACTTATACGAATCTTCACACTAGGCCAACCAATGACGTTCAACAGGTGTGGGCAGTCTAGCGTCCTTACTGGTCCTATGTCCTCCGAGCCCTTCCACTTGAGGACAGAACACAGTACCAGCTTCGAATCAGAGCAGATCGTTTATTTCAGGCATCCTTGGTTTATATATCAATCACACAGACCGCAACGTACCATAAAATAAGAAATAATATTTGTACACAAATAAGCCCAAGAAGTGGCTGTGAATGTGGGAGGCAGTAGTTAATAAACTGAACATAACTTAAGAACCGTAAATCGTACAATAATAAATTATAGGTCAAAATAAAGCTTATCATAAAAGGAATATAAATATACATAGTGTAATTGTTGAGTAGTTATACAATAAGAATATTTATAGAATATTAGTTCATGAATAGTCCTTGAAAGTTACCTGTAATTTAATCTCTACTCGGATATAACAAGATGAAATAATCGTCCAGTGCTTTCAAGTTTTCAATGATTATACAGATTAGAAGAATGATTTATGCATTCATGTCTATAAGACTTTACAATCATGTTTATATTGTTGTTTATATGATTTTCTTTCATATTTATATATATATATATATATATATATAGATAGTTTAAAAGAACCAACATTTTGGTTATTACAAGAAGCTGAAAACTATTTCTATTTTGAATGGACTCCATTTTATGAATTAAAAAGTGATGCATTAAAATTGAATTTAAAAAAATCTGATATAACAAGACAATTGAAAATGGATGAGACTGCATCAAAATTACAAACTATTGGTAGAGCATGTATAAATGAAGAGTATACCATTACAGATCATCGTTTACACATTTATTTGATTGATAGTGTCAATTCAAAAAGGAAATTAAATTATAAACGTAGTGAGTTTTAATTTTGTTAGTATAAATGATAAAGATAATTAGTGGTATATTACTGAATAACAATTTGTTAGGTTAATCGGAAAAATATATCAATAATTATCGTGTTAAGTCTATGGTGGCCTTGGACCTTAAATGTACATTTCCTATTAGTCAATGTTTACTTCACTTGTTAAATATTTTGTAAATGTTGTTCTCTATTTTATGGTACGATGTGGTATGCTTGATTGGTATATAAACAAAGTATGTTTGAAATATAATGATTCATATCTCAGAGGCTGTGGCTTGTGTTCTGGACTCAACTGGCTGGGCTGGACAGGGAAGCAGGACCAATCAGAACTATAGGCCGTTCGTTTGTGTTTACGTGTCACTGTAGTCGATCGATAAGTACGCTGCTCTCTAATTTTCCAGTCAAGGACACAACAACTAGCACAGGGTAAAAATCGACAGCAACCTAAAGTCATAACAATTGGCGACGGGGATGGGATTTGTTGAAAGACTTTTGGTGCTGGTTTCACACCAAAAGGTAAACGCTTATATTGGTAAAGACCTCTGTTGTTGTAAAAATATCTTCAAAGTAAGAGAAGTAAACGGTGAACTGTAAAGAAGAGGTTTTGACTGATCAGTTAGATTTATAGATTACTTACTTACTTAACAGTGTTATTCCTTGGAGAAGAATATAAACTGCACAACAACATTCTGCATTCAACTCTATCCTGAACATTCCTTTTTTATTTCTTTACAGTTTTTGTTCATTATTTTGATGTTAGTTTCCAATTACTGGAGTAATATGTTTTTCGACTTTCCTCTTTGTTGGTTCCGTTCACGATTCCAAGTTAGCACTTGACTCATGAAGAAGTTTGGTGATTTCCCTTATGAATGCTCTATCCACTTTCAACGTCTTTTCCTATACATGTGACTTCTGATTGCACAATCACGCACGTATAAAACTACTGTAATTGCGTTACTTAACATGTGGAAATGCTAACCTTACGAAAACTTTGGTACAATGAAACATTTGACGAGGCATACAAGAATCCCAAATCTTATGTTTGCACACTATCCTCCTCATACGCATATATCAATTATCGATATTATGATTTCTGTTGATTTTAGATATCTCGAAATATCATTTTGAAATAGACAATGCATATAATAGGCCATTAATATATCATGAAAAGCCGTGCTTATTTGTGTGGAGATAATCTTTAGTTGTGAGATCTTTGGTGCACATTCTTACTAAGTATATTAGGATGAAACAGTTGTTTAGTGTTTCCCCATTTTCAGTGTTTATTTAAGAAAGATCGTTCTATGCTGTTAACTATTTATATTTGTAAGAATATAGTGTAAACAACACTTTAATGTTCAGTTTTTAGAGTGCAAAGTCCAACAATCGGGATGACAAATAAAAAGCTCGCATACATAACATGGAAAATAAACGAAAAAGTTTGCAATCCATACGATGCAATAGTGATTTTTAAAAAAGATTCAACAGGATTTCATCGAATGCATATTGTCTCTGTTGATGAAACAGCATTTTATTTTGATGAAATATTACAAGACCAAGAAGAGATTATTATTACAAGTTATCATGAGAATATGTTTGGTTTATCTGAATTAGGTAAGTCTATTAAAGTGACTTTAATAACCGAAAATGTATCGACATCTAATTCTCATTAGTTTCAAGAAGAAGCTAACCCCCTACGCACCGATTATCCTTATTAATGAAGACTTTTGCAGGTTAATCACTAATAATCACATAATGATATTGTAGTTTATATTACGTAATATAAACCACGGGGGGTTAGCTTCTTCTTGAAAATTTTTAACTGATGAGGCCAATATCACTGGTTCAGGCAAGGAATGCCAGTAATTGACTACTCGATTGGTTTGCTTTTATTTCCCCTTTATTGGTTGTTTGGGTCGAAACGGAACCTAGCTTTAAGTTTAGTAGATGGCGGCTTTTGAAGCTTCCTCGGAAATTATTAATTCTGAAGGGAGCAAGAAGATCAGAAATATCAACATATAGTTAGTAATTAAAGATAAGGAATGACAATGAAGAGTGACCACACGCTCTGCGATAAGAAAAAAGGGAAAACTCGAGAAACCAATACAGGGGAAACAAAAGCGAAGAAGAAGGAAATAAAGCGGATGAAAGCGTAAATAAAGTGGAAACGTGAATTTTTCATGTCGGTAATTTACAGTTTTATATTTTTAGTAAAAAACGGAATTTTCAGCCAAAAGTACTTCAACAATATTCCTTTTCGTATTTCTTGATCTATTATGTCAACAAATAATAAGTGATTGCCAGCTGGAAGTTAGCGGTCCAGTCTATCGGTATCTTAGAAATGTACATTTTTTCGCTACGTATTATCAGCAACCACAATATCTCTGAACAGGCCTTTTGTAACGTGTACAACGAAATGTTGTACACTTTTCAGAAACGTACCTGAATAGGTCATGTCTTCAGTCTTCAGTCTTCAGTAATAAGGATAGTAGGTTGATGAACGTGTGTTAATCCTGACACATTACTTTCCAGTGAAGGTGCAGCTTTTTCTTGAAAGTATTCACTGATGTGATTAAAAACCATTGTGACGTATTAAAACAAATATAAATATGACTTGCTGAAATATCTAGATGTAAGGAACAGGCAGGTTAGACACTCCTACTCGCTAAAAATGTTCATGTGAGCTAGTATTCTTGATAAGACATTCACCAGCTGGTTGAATACAGTACTTTAGGTGTCGTCTTACATATGCGGTATGTAAAATTCGAAGCATGTCCTTTTCAAGGCATTTGAATCCTTGGAGAAGTGACCATAACTCACGAAAACGTTTGGCAGCTGCTGATTTGAAATTTCTTGTTAAATTAAAGTCATGACATACTATTACCCATAAGCCTTTGTGTTCCTGAACTCATGGAAGAGATGCAACGTTGATAGCACACTGGTAACTATTACAGTGTCCAATGTGGATGAGCACACTTAATTTCATAACGAATATAAGACGGACAAAAGATTAAATCAACAACAAATTTTTCAGTATTTCTTATTCAATAAAAAAAACAGCTTTGTAGAAAGATCCATTAATGAGAAAAAGAACAATAAAGTATCATTTATAACGAACGGGTTTTACATCACAGTTTACTCTTCATGTAAGCTGATAATAACATAACTGAAAAGATTCTCCCGTAAGGATATAGAACACAAGAATTCCAGAGTTGTAGAAATAATCTAAGTAGATTTTTAAAAGTATTCTGATTGAAATTGATTACACATAAATAATAAAGTTCAGGGTTGAATAATGAAGATTCACTTCTCATTATGAACTGATATTAGTTATAATATAAAATGCTGTGAAGCGCCAAGGCTAAAAGGATGCTATGCATAAAATTACGAGTTGCCATATATATAGTTCATTCATCAAAAATAAATTCCTGGTAGGTTCAGTCTTCTTTATGGATAGTATGGTTTACGAATAGTATCAATTTACCTATTATGTTTATTCTATCAGAAGGAAGATGAACAGTTAACGTGCTGTAAAACATGATTTTCATCTTATGATTGTAGCAACCATTTTTTTTTTCGTGAACTATTAAATAATATTTCTTCTTAACGCTATACATAAAATAGTTGTATTGACAGCAATGTATGATATTTTGTTAAAGATGTATTACAGATTGTGTACAGTGTATTTGAAAAGAGTACAACTAATTATTAGGACCATATTGAACATATTTTATTGATTAGAGAAAATGTTCAACACGATTGTGAGTTACTAAATGTATCCTAGTGATGAAAGTACAGTATTCGAAACCACTTCACCTTTATCATTATATTAACGAAATAGAAAGTATGTAAAATTTACTTGATATAACTCAACAAAGATCTGTGAAAATTGTTATATCTTGTGACCGTCGATTAGATGACAGTGAATTATCGATCGGACCAAGAACGCGTAAAACACGTGCGAGCAGCCTAGAGTCCTGACTAGTCCTGCTTCCCGCTCAGCCCAGCCAGTTAAGTCCAGAACACCAGTCTCAGCCACTGCAATATGAATCATTATATTTCAAATATACTGAGTTTATATCCCAACTAAACAAACCACAACGTACCAATAAAATATGAAGCAACATTTATACAACAATTAGCCAGATATAGCTGTGAATGAGGGAGGTAGTAATTAATATACGGAGCCAAAATAAAGCTTATAATAGGAAGAATATGAACAGTTTACTTAATTAACTATTATACGATAAAAATATACATATAGTACTGGTCCACAAATGGATCCCAAAAGTTACCATTCATTATGTTTATTGGGTCCTACCCGTGTTGGGTAGAGACAGGTATCTACCTCAGTACAATGGAAGGTGGTCGCGCAATTTCGTGGATTGGTTGATGTTAGACACTAACACTGTTGGATGCCGGCTCAGTGGTCTAATGGTTCAGTGCTCAGGCGCGAAGCCAGTAGGTCCTGGGTTTGAATCCCGCGGGGTGCGGGATCGTGGATGCGCACTGCTGAGGAGTCCCACACCAGGACGAAACGGCCGTCCAGTGCTTCCAGGTTTCCAACGGTGGTCTAACGTCAAAAACTTAACAATCTCCACAACCCCCATACTGATAAAAATTACACAGATTGATAACAAATTGAACATGCTTTGCAAATGTAAACAAACATTTCATTGTTATATTGAATTCTCATTTCATTTTATTCATTGCATATTAAAAACAATGTTGAACATTGGATAGTTGTAAGTTATTACTCATTACTATTATAGAATAACAATGTTTATAAATTATAATACAATGAATAAATGATAACGTTCAAAACATTTTCATGATTGACATTTGTTTCCATGATGATGTCTGTGTTATGAGATATTTTTATGATTTGATTGTTACTTTGAAGTATTTATACAACAAGATTTTGATGTCTACAATAAACTAGTTGTGATTATGTTATACAATCTAAATGTGTCTATGTACTTTGTTTTTTTTTTTCATATTTACACAGAAATACGAAAAGAAATCTGATAAACCAGGTAGAATGATTAGTATAATTTGTTTGGTTATTTATTTATTTACGGTGAATATGTTAATCAACTCAGGCAATGGATGAAGGGTTGAGCAAGATAATAGATCCATTAGAATTAGACAATAATACTGTTGTATACTGAATCAGTAGTTTAGAGAATAAGTGTTCTTGAGCAAGTCTAAAGCTCCAGGTTCGATTTCTACTTACGTCATCTTAAATGCGCACTACTGAAGTGTCTCATAGTAGGATGAAACAACCGTTCAATGTTTCCAGATATTCAATGATGATCTAGCTTAGATCGAGTTGTGAATTCAACTGTGAAAATATTACAATCTTCACAAATCTCCATACTTAAGATATTTCATAATTTACTCGTCTGATGGATGCCTGAATTGTAGCTCACTCTGAACACTCGTTTCTTTTTTACTTGAGGAAAGATGTGACGGTATATTAAGTGACGATCGTGAACTGATCACACAATAAAAAACTTCATATTCCAGTTAACTAATTAGTTTGAGGATTTCATTTGAAGGATACAATAACTAAGATGTTGCAATGAAATGCAATGAGATGTTTAATAAATAAATATCAGTGTTGGTTATTAACAACCGGAAATCACAAAACTTTACTGACCAATTCGTATGTCAAAGGTTGTTTATTTTCTTAAGTATTATGTTTACATTATGTGCTATGTTCAAGCCTCAGTTAATATTTGAATGGAAGTACATTTAACCGATATGTAGAAAACACTGATTCTACATTTAACTGTTAAACATGAATTAAAGAATATTCAATCTAATCCGTTCTGTTATAAGTCATCACAATTGATTGATCACTGGGTGGTGATCAATCTCATGCTTGTCTAGTCCTTATTAGTGCAGATCGAATGCTATCGATCATGTTGCAATGTGGCCACCAGTCTAAGTGACTCGACACTGCGGGCACTATGTATTGAGATTTAGATGGTGGTTGGAGGTAGTCAACAGGAAACCCTGGACCCGGGTTTCGTGCTACTTGGCACTCGTCAGCAAGGTGTACCTGTAATCTTGAGGGAACTGGTGCTCCCTGGCGGATTCGATCTCGTGTCACCCAGCTTCACAGTCAGAGACGTTACCACTGAGCTATCCGAGCCGTGACTAACCTCCTGTAGGACTGAGATGTAATCACAATTGATTGATCACTGGGTGGTGATCAATGTCATGCTTGTCTAGTCCTTATTAGTGTTATAAGTCATGCCTAATTCTCATCTCAACTAAGTTGAATCAGAAAGTAATCCGTAATATTGAATAGAAATCTAAGTCATTATAAGTTATGACACAGACCAATACTCTGTGATCAATCAGTTGTAAGTAGTTTAAAATGTCATTTTATCCATTAAAATTTTTCATCATATGTAAAATGACACTAATTTGATTTCACAGATCGATCAATAAATATGAACATAACGAAGAAACGTGTTATAGGTAAATTGAATTATCATCATCTTCTGAATATTACATTCACAAATATGATTTTCATTTTGTAACCAACTTAATTGTGTTAGTGAACTAATTTTAACACGAAAATGTCATGATAATTTGACAACGATCAAATAGGTGGTTATTGACAAGAAACTGATAAATATGGTGTAATGTTTCAAATTAT